TGCCATTTATCATTTTGTTTATTTTTAATAATTTTGTTAAGTCCGCATTTGATTGCTAATATAAGATGAGTTTCACCACAATACCTCAACGCAAATGCATTGTTTTGTTCAAGTTCAAGCAAATCTCTTAAATTTGTAAGTACTCCTTCATATTTTCTCATAATAAAATTAGCTTTTGCACGATATTTTAAGCTATTTTTTGGTTACTTTCGAATGAATTCAATTGATTTATAAAATCTTCAATAATGTCTTTATTATCGCATTGTTTAAAAGCTTTATTCCATTCTTCTTTCACTCGATCATTATCAATATCATTAACAGCTATTGTTATTCATGAGATAATATTAAAATAAAATAAATCAGACAAGTAAATATTCAATGCTAGATAAAAAGATATACCAGTATATTTGAACTTTTTATGTCTAAAGTTCGCCTCTATAGACATTCTGCCTTTTGATCCTTTTGATCCTTTTGATCTTATTCCAATATAAGGATAAAGGTTACCCTTTAAATCTTTTAAGTCTCTAAATGCAATTCCTTAAAAAATGATATTAACTTTTATCACTAAAATAAATTTAAGTATTAAATAATAATTACCCAAATTCACGCCATTTTAGTATATAATATAGTATCATTTTTTGTTCAGAAATTGAAGAACCATATGGGCCTGTGTTTGAAATATAGTTGTTAGGCGAAACTATGTGATGCTAATTATCACATAGCCACATATGAATTCACATGTTACTATTTGTGGCTATGCATCACATAATTTCGCCTAACAACTATAGTTTGAAGCTGGCAATACTATCGGGTGTTTTTTAAACTTTAAAAATCGAAAAAATTTCCATAACTATGATATCTACATGAATCCTTTCTACACCCTACAAATATTTAATAATAAAGAAACAAGACTTATTTAAAGTTGCCTGTTATTTTACATCTTACTTATTTACAGCATCTTCATCTTCACTATCATCCTTATCCTCATCCTCATCCTCATCCTCATCATCATCTTTATTTTCTTTATTACTTATAAGATCAATTTTAAAGTAAAACAATTGGCATTGTAATGGAATTGAATTAGAGGTACGGATTACAGCATCTTCATTATCTTTGCCATGACCTTTGTTATTTTGAAAAAGGTTAATAAGGTAGTAAATTATGTATTCTTAACTTTTATGAAAATACCTTGATAAGATAATTATGAATTTTCGAGAGCTTATTTTTTACACTTATAAAAATATATTATGTGTTCTCACCTATATAATTTACTTTAAGTTCATTTGAATCCACATTTAAAAGAGCAAATTTATCATTTGCATTCCATGTGATTGGAGTCATATGAACTGTTCATGAATTAATATTGATATAAATAAATTTATTATTTTAGTTATTCCATTTAATGCTTCATAATTATTTAATTTTTGATACCAAGGCCAAAAAAAAACTGTTATAGCCAATGTTGGTTAATTCTAGAGATGTGATTCTGCTTAAACTGGTTAGTTTGTGCTTGAAACCCGAATTAACACTGTTCCAAAGCATATACAAAAACTGGGTTTCAAACTCTGTTCCAACGCATATACAAAAAATGGATTGCAAACTCTGTTTTAAAACCAGTTATATATATGAATATTAATTATATTAATTATATATGCTAACTTAAACCTGTTACACTTTATTAGAATGTGTATTTGTATAATATATATTTATTGTATTAGCATTCACATTGCATTCATTATTTATAACCCTCCGCACAATTAATAATTCCTGATTCGAACTATGTTTTTAAACAAAGACTTGCACAAATGTTTTCTTCTGACAGCCGATTGCGTAATGGGTTAATTGTGTTTTTAGCAATTGAAAACATTTGCTCACTGCTCACACTTGTGGCCTGTACAATTAAGTGGTCTCAAGCCATTTGTGTGAGCCCCGCATAACATAGATTGGTTGATTGTTGTTTCCAGAAGTCAAGTGGGTTACAATTCTCTTCAGGAGTTGTAAGATATTCTTCAAGAGGATTGTTCTTTGACTTTTCAGTATAATGTTTTCGAAAATAATCTCTTGGAGAATCATTTTTAGCAAAAGATGTGTTATTAATTTCTTTTCCTATATATTGTGTATAAACATTATGTAACCTTTCACGTACAATTATAGCTGTCTCATTGTCAAATGATGACATTTTTATGTTTGGATCTAATACAACAGAAACACTGCAACAACCTCGAAGAATAGTCCAATAATCATCAAGTTTTTTATAGATTCGTTGTGCAACTTGATTTTTTATTTGCATTTCACTATTTAACATCTCATGTAAAACATTTAAAATAATTGGAAAGATCATATGCAAATCACCCATTGTTGGACGTATTGATGAAGACAAGATTATCGTTGCTTTGGCCATAGGCTCAAGTAACATAACAATCGCCTAAAATAAAATAAAAAAAGTTAAAATAAAATAAATTAATATACTAATAATAATAATTAATTTTAAACACTAACTTCAATTCCATTCCATTCATTCTCATTTAGATACCAATGTTTTAGAATTGGATTATCTTCTACAAGAACATCTGTCATTTCACGAATTCGAAGCATCTTTTCAATCATATTATATGTACTATTCCATCAGAAAGGCACATCCAAATCAGGTACAAGAAATGACCTTTCATTTATTTGAAAAATCTTTTTAAGATCTTCAAACAATGGTTGCGATTTGCATATATAGCTAGCAAAATTTCATAGTTTTGTAATTAAATTAACTGTAACCTTCATACCCTCTGAGACAGCAAGGTTTAATACATGAGTTGCACAACGAACATGCTTAAAATCTTGATTATTATATTTGTATTGAAGTTTATCATGTAATGTACGTCCAAATACATCCATGTTGGATGCATTATCAGTAGTTACAGAAATAATACGAGAATGATATTGTAAAATGAATTCGATTCTAAAACTTTTTCAGTTATATAACACCAGTATGCCGTTCATGAAGTGGTATCATCTCCAATAAGATTTGTTTCATAGTCCAACTTTTATCTATCCAGTGAAGCATAATGGCAAGAAAAGCAAGATTAGTACATGAAGTCCAAGAATCTGTTGTAATGGCAAACTTTTGTTGACTTGTATTAAAAAAGGTTCGAAGTTCATTTTGTTTATTATAGTATAACTTCAAAACACTTTGTGAGATCAATTTTCTTGAAGGAAGATAGTATCGTGGTGTTAATTCAGTAATAAATAGTTGAAAATCTTTATTTTCAACTATCAAAAATGCTTGCTGATCTGTAATAATCCATTTAACAAGACTTTGATTTATTTGTAAAATTTTATTCGCATTGTAAGGTTCAATATTTGTCTTATTGACAATTTTTATTAATTCATCCCATCTATCTGGGTGATTATGTTTGAAATGTTTCTTTATTGTAGAAAGACCTGTATCCATCGAATAAGCAGTATTACAGTGATTACAATGCCATTTATTACCAGTTACAGTAAGTTCATCCCAGAAAAAATCAATTTTTCGTTTAGAGGATCGGTTGGTTATTTCTGTAAGAGCTTCAGATTCAAATTCATTTTAAGATACCATTGAGTTTGATGTAGAAGTAAATTCAGCTTCATTAAATTGATCAAATATGCTTTTCTCGTCCATTATATTAAAATTGAAATAATTGACATAAAAAATAAAAAAACGAAGCACTATATATTTATAAGAACTACTTTCAATTTTTTTGAATTTTTTTTTTTTACTTCCAATAAACTTTTAATT